TATTCCCGCGTTAGCATTCAGCTTACGTCCACATTTGTGTACCAGTCTAAATAATTTTGAATGTTTCATTATTTTATACAATACACAAACGAAAAAAAAAAAAGAGCTAAGAACACGCAATTAAAATATCGGTTTTCATATTTCTTTTAACTGCTACTATTTGGCTCGTAGGACAATTTTGTCCATGTAAAGCTCACTTACGGTTTGCTGTTTGCCATGTTGGATAGATTCTCTTTGACTCTGTGACATGAAACATTATAAAGGATGTAACTTTAGATAACAGATCTTGGAAATCGAGCTTGAAATGTGACTCAAAGAAAACAAGGACAATTTAAGAACGATAAACAAGTTTTTCATTTTCCCTCCCCACTCATGCTTGAATTTAAGGTTATTTTCTTGTAATGCTTTATTAAAAACTGTCAAGTTTTCTCAGTGAATACTTGTATTTATTTGAGAATTGGAGTGCAAACTTGATCATTCATTTTTGTCTTAAGTTTTGAATGATGTAGTCTCAGAATGTGGTTGTAACTTTTGAGTCTGTGGATGAAATCCTGTGGTGTGACCTTTGAAGTTGTCTTTCAGCATTTTACAAAATGACATTTAGAAATTTGGCTTGCCAAGTTAAAATGTTTTCTTATTTGATGGCACAATATTTTAAAATTTTCAGATGAATGTAAGGGTCTGACACACGAAGACAAAAATAAGCATGCATCTGAAAAGTGGAAATTGCAGACAAAAGAAGAAAAGGAAAAATATGAAAACTCTGCAAAAGCGTTCAAATAATTAGATGTGAAACTATCAGAATTGTCAGAAGAGCAAAGAAAACAATTAATTGAGCGACACAGAAAGAAACTACTTGAAGAGGTAATCACCACAGTAATGTTGTTATTTACGTACATTAGAGGCTGTTTCATTGTTGTTCTTTCTTGAGTTAAGGTATACATTGTACATTCTGTCTTTTTCAGATATGTGTATATTAATTCCAAGTACTTTTTAATACAAGCACATTGCATAAGAGGTCCTCTGGCCGCTGTTATTAATGGCTCCTAAAAGAGTTGCACTAAGAGGTCACGTGTCATTTGCCGCCATGTTGGAGGGCAAACAAATCGGTTGCTATGCGTTACTATGGAAAAAGTGGCTGCCGCTTATGACCCGGAAAGGTAAATATATCAAGTTTCCTCGCCATTTTTTGCTTTGTTTCAAAACAATGGGTTACTTGCAGACATGTATGATGTTTACTAGTCTCTCAGATTCTATTAAAAATCGTTCATTTATTTATTGCTTTAAAAAATGGCTTTTGATGTTCCGTTTACTTCAACAGTTTGAACACACTTCCTCGCTGTTCGAATTTGCAAACTTATAATTATCCTTTATTGTCGTTTCACTGACCTTTATCGCTTTCAAAGGGGGTGTAAATATTTTCCTTTTTAGTTCAAATTATAGGCTTACAGTGATAGGTGGAAAAGATCGACTTAAGTTTAATCAGCTTTTCTAGCTTGAATTTCTCCAACATAAACTAGTTTTAGAATCGAGTTTTAACCGTCGACCGTTCTAAGTTTAAGCTTATTCGTACCATAAGCATTGTACAAGCTTGATTAAAGTCATTTAAGTTATAAAAATTTCTTTAATCGTTACAGAACAGAAACCGTCGATCTTTCGCGGTTTCCCTCTCTAATTTTTACTGACGTTGAAAAGTATGCAGCAAGTTCCACAGGATGCGAAAGCACTGCTAAAGCCTATAAATTCTTCACTGAACCTGGATACCTCCACGATATTAAAAGTAAGTCTGAAAATAGTTTTTCTATATTCCATAACCATGAATCTTAAAAGCAGTCTTACAGGTTCAAAACCATTTATTTTTATTTTTGGTAGTCACTTATGGAGCTACCGAGGCAGTAGTGTTTGCAAGATGCCACAGATCCATGACAAAAAGTGAACCAGCTCACTCACTTCAATTGATCATCATTACTGAGAATAAGAAGGTGTCGGGAAAATGTTCCTGTGTAGCCAGTGCTGGTGGCTTTTGTCATCATTTTATTGGTTTGTTGTTCTACCTGGCACACCTGAAGCAACTAGGTTTTAAAAGCATTCCCGATGACCTAACATGCACTATGGCTGCTCAGAGATGGAGTGTACCAAGGACGAGACAGATTGAACCCCAGTGTGTCGACAGTGTATTGGTTAAAAAGCCACAAGAGGGAGCAAACTACAACAAATTTATAAAAAATACCCTATACTCTCCAGCAAGGCAGTATCCTTTGCTTGGCCCGAAGAGAAAAATAAGCTCAAAAGTCTCAATCCTGAGCCTTTGCTAGTAGGTTTGTTATCAGAAAATCCTCTGAGCCTGGGAAGTATACAGACCCACTATGGAAACTTACCAAAAGGTCCTGCATTGTCCTACCAGCAAAGGCTCACAGAACAATACATTATCAATAACTACGGTCAGACAAATTTCCCAGACCTATCACTGTCTGGCGCCGGAGATTGCTTTGTAAACAGCTTGTCCATCTGTTTAGAAAGCACCAAACTTGCAAAGTTACAAACACTTACCGTCACATTAGACATGGCCCGCGACTTGGAACATAAAACACGAGAACAAAGCGAGAGTGGACTCTGGCACTCATTACGACAGGAGTGAATAACTGCAAGTAAATTCGGCATCGTTGCAAAAAGAGTATCAAATTTTGAAACTCTTGTACAACAGCTTCAGCCTTCCAGGTACGTACAAACAGCTGCCATGAAACATGGTATCGAAATGGAATGACGATTTATTTTTTTGTCAAATAATTAAATTCGAACATGTTGTTTTCCAGCAAAGTAAAGACCGAGTTGACAACATTTATTTCAACTACTTTCTGTGAAGGTTAAGTTAAGGTGCACATCGGTAGGTCACAAATTGCAACAGCAAGTTTTTCGTTTTTGACGCCATCGTATCCGGTCATCATGGCACCAATTACAAAATAAATAGTTTTCCAGCCAGATACCCAAGCCAAGAAAGGGGCAATGTAACTTTCTGTTGTAGTTTGTGGCCCATGAAAGTAGAGAATTCTCGACCGAACTAAGAGGAATTGCTTTTTAGTATTAAAGGTCCTTGAAAGTTAACCAGCAAACAAGTCACAGTCCAGAGCTGGTTGACAGTACCCAACAATGACAATGGGATGGGGGTATCATAAATGTGATACTCTTTAATTCTAAGAATTGCCCTTTCTACGTGAATACGTAGTTTTGCGATCGTTTTGGTTTCTTTAACCTCTTTTGAAGAGAACTGACCCCCACTTGAAAGATAGGGTGCCAGATTTAAGCTCACTCTTCTGCTTTTTAACATGTCACCAATATTAAAACCTTTGTTGGCCATAACGCTGTCATTAGGCTCCAAAAAGGTCTAAAATACCACAGCATCTTGTTATTTCTATATCGGAAATGGATCCAGTGTAAAGCGCAGATACAAAACTAACTGCTCCATGTGGTGTAATACCAGTGAGAGACTTCAATGTTGTGCCACTTTTGTAACTGCTGTACATTTACGACTGTAACAGAAGAGATGATGGAACCTGAACTCTAATTTCCATGCAGTCAATCACAACACGAGTATTTGGATAACGAACCCTAAATTCTTGGGGCAGGTGTTTTTGCACAGCTTCTTTTGAAGGCCATATTGGTTGTGCTCCGAGGAAAAAATATAAATAATTTGCATAAGTGATAACTTTTCTGCTTACAGTAGACTCATGGACATTGAACCTGTGAGCCAAATCCTGCTGGAGGAGGCCCAATCTTATCCTTAATAAAAAGAGAAATAATTCACCAATAAGCACCATCGTTCTACCACCAGGAGGTGGGTTGGAAGACATGCTACTTGTGTAACAATACTGCATAGATTCTGCGCTAGGCTTAACTATTTCATAAAATGTTACAAGATATTGGTAACTGACAAAGCCTGTACAAAACTTAATACTATCATTATCCATTGAAAACCTTTCAAGGCTAAATTTATAAAGCTTTAATGCCTCAACTTGAGCTTTTAAATGTCTTATCTCTGCCCTTGCTGCATCAAGCTGCTCCTTGACATTGGGCTCATCTGGATGGATGTCTTCTCTTTTAGCCTTCTTCTCCGTCTGACAATCACTGCTACCTGACTCACTTTCACTCCTTTTGAGCAAAATGACAAGAAAGATTAAGTTGACAAATACCTGATTATATGTTTTTATACTTCTGATTTCCAACGTCAGCATTTTATGTCGGAAGAAATAACAGCACATTTTAAAGAAAAAAATAAGACACCTGTTATCTCACAAGATCACTAATCATGCAAAGTCCGGGTGTTTTTATAAAGTTTATTTCCTTAGCCCACAAAATATAAGTAAACTGAAACTCATTATAACAGTCATAATAAATTCTTACATAATAATGGTCTTTGTATGTGAAAGAAAAGTTTATTTGTTGGCTTACTCAGGATGTAACTGAATATGTCGCTCAATCTTTTGCCTTGCCTTTGGGCGATGCCAAGCAAATTGGGTAGGTATTGCCGCTGTTTTAAGTCTCTTTCGGCCCAAATTATCGAGTCCAGGTCGGTTTTTCTCTTCTAAAAAGTGCTCCTCACAAACGCTTGTGCTGTCTGTTATCTAGAAAATTAAGAAGTGAATATTCTAAGGCGGCGACATATCTGCCTATTAAAAAATATAACTCGGTTACGAAAAAATTGACAAATACTGGAGACGATGCAATTCTCACCTCAAAATAATCTCCTTCATCCCTGCGAATTTTAGCAATCCACTGCTTTCTTAATTCAGGCCTGCTTACTGGGCTTGGGAATCGATAAAACATTAAGTTTTTATAACAGCCATCGTCGTTGCATAATGGAACAACACAGTGATACTTGCTGCCGCCTGCCTGTGCTCAAACGCACGTTGAGCAAAAAATAGGCATCAGTTAATGGCAATAATTCATCGTCCAATTCAACCTGACCGCTATAATTCTCAATTCTCCTAAGCATCTACATTTTTCCCAAGTGAAATTTGGAGCATATGATGAGGATCTAGTATAGGGCATTTCTATTTAAAAAAACGACAACAGGCCGATAAATTATCCAAATGAACATGGAGAAAGCGTTTTAAACTGTTGAAATCAACGCACTATCGAGAGCGATTTTTTAAAAGCAATAAATAAATCAACAATTTCTTAGAGAAACCATGAATCTTGTACACATCGTTAATGTGTGTAAGTATCCTTTTGTTCCGAACAGAGCCAAACATGGCGAAGAAACTTGATCAATTTACCTCTTGTGTTTCCGACAAGGCAGCCATTTTTTCCATAGTAATGCATAGCGACCAATTTGTTTGCCCTCCAACATGGCGGCGAATGACACGTGACCTCTTAGTGCAAATGGCCTATGTCATCTGCTTGTATCGAAGCAGTTAACTAACTAATGATCAGATGAAAATTGCTTCAGTTAAGGAGGCAATTACTTGATTTTTAAATCGATAACTTTTAGTGATTGTAATATAGGTAAAATATTGCTAATTATTGTTAGGGTACTTAGAGGTCAAATAGAATGTTCTATTTTTTTTTGTCTGTGTTTTAATAGATAATGGTAGTGGAAGATTTGGGCTGTCAGGTATCTGTGTTGTACCTGGAGGTGAGTGGGGAGGTTTTCCACATGGGCTCCAGGGATTGGTAGGTAATCCTTAACCTCTTTGAGTATCTACTGCAAACAACCTGTAATTTGATATTTTAATGGGCGATTTCCTGCCAGACAATTACAGCAGGTTAGTTGATACAATAAGTGTATTCTAAGTAAAGCACCATGAATAATATACATGAATAACAATATTTATTTTATTTTTATCTCTTTTTATGAACCAAAAGTTGTCTGCTTTTGGTCTTCTTTAAATTAAAATATAACATACATTAAATATATACTTGCACAATGATTGCTAAACAGAAAAAAATGCTACTACATTGTCTCTACAATGCTGTTTTGTAAACTGTTACACTCACTCATCAGGAAACTTAAATGGGAAGAATATTCACCAGCAAGGAATATATTATATATTAGAGTATTCCCTAGGGTATTGCTAGTTGTAATGTAATATAGCGTTTTGTGTCTGTGTATATATATATTACTATGACCAATCAATATGAGTACATATGGAGTGTAGTACAAATTTGTTTCGTGGAACAAAAGAGTTGGTCCACTAATCAAAGTATCCTATTTTATTCAATCAACCATCAAACAAAACTGACATGAAAGGAACATTTAAAAGTTACCAGTAGTGATCAGATTCCTACATGTAACAACTACGCAATCTAAGCTTTCTTGTACATGACCCTGAAGCTCTTGCATTGCTACACACAACATTGTGTAAGGCTCTTATCGAATTACCACAGTTTATTCCAAAGGAAGATGGAATACTCCTTGAATGTCCAAAAGCAAATAGCAGGAAACGCTCAGCCACACCTCTGCCATCCACTCAGTAAACATCAAATCCCCTCCCTTGTAAGAAAGCCAAGAAAAACAAGTTCCCTGGACGAGTTGGTGAAGTGGCAAATACAATGAAGAAAACATATAATATATCCTCCACTCTAGAAGAGATAACAGCAACTAACCAAAAGATGGCACATATCCCATATGGTGATGCTGGACTGCCAGTGGATGTGGGGCAAAGTAACACCAGCGCAGCTGATGACTACAAGTCAGCCTTTCAAGAAGATAAGGAGGTTGAAGCCATCCTTGGGCAAGTTGAGCTGGAAATGTCAAGTGACTTTGACACACCTGACACTCAGAAACATGAGCACCAGAATAAAGAAATGACTGGCCAAGAAATAAACAGTGACAACAGCAAAGGTGAAACTTGTGACTCGCATGCAGAAGATGATGACATTGTAATCACTGGAGAGGGTACATGCTGCGTGCAAAAGCGTAAAAATAGGGTTATGTGTGAAAATGAATTCAACATCATTAAAACTGGCCAAATGTTGACAGATACTTCAATAAATGTGGCACAGAACTTCCTCCACAATCAGTTTCCCTGCGTTGATGGACTTGAGGACACTGTTCTTGGACCAACATTTCAATTCTCTATTGCTGGTGGGGAGTTTGTGCAAGTGTTGCATGATGGTGGCCTTCACTGGATCTGTGTGTCTAATACTGGTTGTGCAAAGGGAGTTGTTAAATGCTTTGAAAGCTACAACAACAGGGGATACATTAAAAAGTATGTTGGCAAACAGGTAGCATCCATTGTTAGAGAATTGATTCCACAGCTGACTGTTAGGATTACAGCAGTTCAGCAACAGCAGAATGGTACAGATTGTGGACTCTTTGCCCTTGTATATGCCACATCACTACTGCACAGAATCCAGAGTCTTTTACGTATGATACAAAATTAAGATCTCACCTGCTACACAGTCTCCACCAAGGCCACATGTCACCATTTCCATTAACCGCGACTAAACATGACAGATGCAAGACTAAGGATGTAGTATTCATGTTGAAAGAGCAATTAAGCGAATCAAGGCTTGGCATATTTTCAGTCAAGTTCTGCCTCTTTCCAGCTTTGGGTCCATAAATCAGATCTGGACTGTATGTGCTTTGTTAGTTAATTTTCAATATTCAATTATTTCAGTTTAAAGAAAGGAAGCTTTCAGTTTTTTGGAAGAGATGGGTTGTTATATCAGGGAACTGACAAGTGTGTTTTTTAGGAATTGAATGTTAAGCTAAAGGTTCTGAAGCTGTTCAGGTCCTGTTACTTTATGTAAGTCTCTGGTTTGGGTTTTTTCAATAATTGGAGGACTTGATATGTGAAAAAGTGAATGCAAAAATAATATTATTCTGTCAAATGCAGATGGGTAGATTGGGTACTCAGATTTAAAACTGATGGAGACTGACTGTGATGGAAGAAAGTATATTTGTTATAGTAGTGATGATGGTGATAATAATGTTAAGTATTGGACTCTGACCATTGGTTGTATATGTAGTAACGATTGTCAATCTTCGAATGTGCGTGACATGGGTTAGCCCTTATAGCCCACAACATCTCATCATTTGTATCAGTCATTCTTAGCTAGCAGAACCGCCTTTGTATTTTGATTTCATGAAAAATGCCTCCGGAAATGAAAAGCTCTAAAGAGCTAAGCTAACACTCTTCCCCGAGACTTTGTGACTTTCTAAATTTTGCCGTGGTCAGGACATTCCTGAGGATATCAAAGACGTCCTGGTTGAGCACCAAATAACATCACAACAAGTCTTTGCCTCAATCACCGAGCAGGACTTGGCCGACATGGGCTTCATTGTCGGCCAAAAAATCATGCTTTGGCGAGTGCTTTCCCTACTCCGACAGGACAGTGAGGGACCTCAAGTGGACACTGCCAATGCCGCTCTCAGTGCTTCTGCAAAGGAAATCTCTAAGCTGGAAGGGGAATTTCAAGTCCCCCAGTCGACGCAGGAAAATAAGGCATCAGAGACAGCCACCTACCTACTACTTCCACTGCATCTGGTTCTGCTACTTATGCCCCTTCTGGTTCTCAACCTGCCTTATCTTCTCCGGCTTCTCCCAGCACCAATTCTTCAGTGGAAGGTAAGTCTTGTCGCTTCAGACTCTGTTTTTAGCCCTGACAGTAAACAGCTCAAACTGTTACAGCTGTCTTGTTCACCATTTATTCTCGCGAATATTAAGATTCTTGAGTCTCTTTTTACTAAGAGTCCTTGCGAAACCGTTGATTACCTCACATACTTGAAATTTTTGGCTATAAAAGGCACTCGTTTTCAAACCAAGGCCATCCTTGCATTTGATCAAGATTACTGTGCCACGAAAGCGCAGGATAATTTTAGATGCGGCACCAATTTAGATGACGTCAGTGCACAGTATTTGGATTCCGCCATGGCACAGTGCCCTCCCCGAAACGAAAGTCGAGGGGATAGCTGCTGGTCAGGAAATGAAGAATTCTGTTTTTGCTGGATTTTTAACCCAACTGGTTGCCCAAATCCACAGTCGTGTCGTTACAAGCACGTTTGTATTTACTGTTCCTCTACTCAGCATAAGGGCAAGAGTTGTTCAGGTTCCGCAAATGCTGAGAAAAGCAAAATATGAACCGATTTTTTAGAACAGTCCCTGCTCAAGGAAAATGTTCTGTCAGCACCCTTCGCGCATCCTACTTCAACAAATTTTTCTATAACCCCGCTTGAGGATTACCCTTTACGTTTCCATGCTTGCGATAAGGAACTTTCTGATGACCCCGATAGAATTGTTATCCTCGACGGTTTGCGTTTTGGTTTTAAGCTTATTCTAGAGTCTGACCCTTCTTGTATCGTTGCCTACGAATCCGACAATTACTCTAGTGCTACCTGCCCAGAGTTTAAACTGGAAATGGATAGTTTATTCATAAAAGAACTCGCCTCGCGCATCTCTATGGGTCAAACTAAACCGCATTGCATTCACCCTATCGGCCGTGTACCAAAAAAGGACTTAGGAAAATTCCGCCCAATTACTGACTGCAGTCATCCGCAAGGTATTTCTTTGAATGATCATATTAAGCGTGACTTAGTGTCCTTTCGCATGAATTCAATTGGCAGCACGCTGTCATTTTCTACACCTTATTGTTTTTACTCGATAGTTGATATCGAATCTGCTTGGTGCTGGATCCCGGTTATCCCCCCTCATTGAGAATTATAAGGTTTTTGCTGGATGTTTGGCCTACACAACTCTTCCCAGTATAATTATTATGTGGACAACAGACTTAGTTTGAGTCTCTTGTGCGCACCATTCATTTTCAAACGTATCTCTAACGCTATTGTTCGCATGATGGCTCGCCATGCTTTTCGTGCTGTGGTTAATTATCTGGATGATTTTCTTATCATCGGAAGTACTAAGGAAGAATGTCAGCGGGGGCTTGTCACTCGTGTCAATTTGCTGCATTATCTCGGATTTAACGCGAGTTGGCGGAAAGTCGTTTCTCTCACCCAGCGCATCACCTTCTTAGGCATTGAGCTTAGATTCCTCAACTACGTCTCCCCGACTTGCCGAGGACAAGTTTAACCGCCTGGTCGACCTCGTAAACACTTTCTCACTCAAGGCTTCTGCCTCCAAACACCAATTGCAGTCCCTCGCAGGATCTTTAAACTTCGCATGCCAAGTTGTCCATGGTGGTCGCACATTCCTACATCACGTGATTGACCGCTTAAACAAATTAAATCACTCTTCTCATTGGTGTCGTTTATCAACCGATTTCTGCGCAGATGTGTCAAGGTGGAAAGAATTTCTCATCACGTTTAACGGGCGCCGCATGATGCTCGATTTTCGCCAGCCTGTTTATATTCAAATGGACACGTCCTTTCACAGTTTTGGAGCCCTCTCACCTGATGACTGGTTTGCTGGCTCCTGGGCCAGTTCACGAGAGAGCGATCGTTACTCCCAGTCATTGCCATCCCATTGGTGTGATGATGGTCATGCTATTGATCCATCACTTCGTTGTAATATCAATTATTTGGAACTCTTTCCGGTTCTTATCGCCGCCTGCCGCTGGGGCTCCTCTTGTACAAACAAACGCATTTGCGTGGAAACTGATGACATGCAAGCCATGATTTTTAATAACAAAGGCTCTTGTAAAAACCCTATCGCTATGTCTTGGTTATGGGAGTTATTTTGGCTTAGTATCCATCACAACTTTAAATAACAATAAGTAACAATAAATAACGTTTATGCGGACAGATTGAGTCGTCTTTTTCAATCTCGGACATTATCTAATGACATTTTCTCTCCCCTCTAGGATACCTCACGCAACTGGATATCCAGGCCAAGTTTGTTTCTGCTGCAGCATATGCACATTCTACGTTCAACACTTATCGCTCTCAATGGCACTCCTATCTTCGGTTCTGTACTACGTATCACCTGGTTCCCGTTCCAGCCAAGGTGCAAACAATTGTTCGTTTTCTAATTCACTTGTCTTATTATCGCAAATATTCTACAGTTATCAACTTCTTATCTGCTATTAATGTTCTTCACTGACATTTTGGCTTCAACATCACGTTTCAGGAAGTGTTTTCTATCAAACTTATCTTACGCAGACTTCGGCGCATTCTTAGTGATGCCCCAGTTCAAAAATTTCCCATGACCCCAGATATTCTTTTGCAGCTTCACCCTCAGTTCACAGCACAATCTGACTCAGGCTTCTGGGCAGCGAAGCTAATCGGGTTCCACACTTTCTTTCGTAAATCAAAGGTTGTGCCCAAATCAGAGACGGATTTTGATCCCGCCAAGAAGTTATGTCGCTACAACATCGTCAGACCGTGGGGTATGGTTATCTGCGTTCATTGGTCAAAAATGATTCAATTCCGAGCATCAGTTGCTCATTCCCATTTTGCAGCTCTCCCAGGGTCACCTTTTCTGCCCTGTGCAATGATTTGAACGTCACATTTTAGAATTCCTGGTCACCCTGCCTTCGCCTGTTTTCCTGCATCACAGAAAAGGTCACGCCACGTCCATTACACTCCGCATTCACCGACAAATTGCTGAAGGTTCTCAGTCATGCAGGCTTCCCAGCCAACAAATTCTCGGGTCACAGTTGGTGGAGCTTCCTATGCCTTCCGTTGCAGATATTAATAGCAATTTTTGAGTTTTTAAGTGAAATATTTATCATGTTTATTGTTTCATATTCACTAAAATTTCATGTATTCCCATTCAGCTCAGACCTGGTGGAGCTTCAAATTGAATCATTGAGTGGGAAATTGGTCCAGCAAAGGAGTTAAGTTAAGGGCGTGTAGTTAATTTAAAAATAACTTTTAGCTTTCTGTTCAGTTTCATAGTGAAAACTGGGCCGTACAATCGAACTGCGTCCTGCCAACCAGTCGCGCTAAAAAGGAAGACTTTTTCTTATCATTAGTGACAGCTGGTACTGACGAGGAACAGATACCATATTTTTTGACCCGTCTATATTCTAGTGCCTGCGATAGTGGTAACGTGTGCCAGGTCAATTGCCTGATAGTATATGACTTTGTAGTTACTGGCAATTACTAAATATTGACTGTTTTTCTTTTATATCCATCTAAATTTCGCCAAGTGAATTAGAGCTCAATAGAGGAGACAGGGACAAACGAAATAACATTCTTGTCTCTCAGCTGCCAATATTTGAGTTACGAAGTCTCCCTGTGCAAAAACAAGGCTTTCTCTTTTAGTTGCTCGCATTTATACAGTACATTTTCATGTCAGCAACATTTTTGACTTTATCGTACTTGAAACTTGAGCAAAATTTCTCAGTGGTATTTTCGGTCGTTTACATCAAAGTGTTCTGCCAAAACCTTCAGTGACGCAAGATTGTTTATATACAGTAAAAACCCGCAAGTAAGAACCTAAAAATTAAGAACCTGTTAGCCTAAAATTTGCCATTTATACCCCCTGTAAACAAGAACCTATTTAGCCTAAGAAAATTAAAATAGGTTCTTATTTTCTAAAATCATATAGTACATTACAGGTACACTGAAATTAATTACTGTAATCATAATTGAAGAAAAACCAGATTGCCCTTGCTGTAAAACATGATTTTTTTAAGAAAAATGAGTGCAAAATATGTAGTTACAAAGCATACTAAGCAAGTGTAGATCCACACTACTGTATGGTAAATGCAGTGAAGTTAGTAAAAATTATAATAGCAACAATAATAAAAAAATGTATTTAAATATATGATGCAGAAGTTCCAGGTTAAAAAGAAGGATACATTGATATGCATATTCAGTTACTCTGTGTCACATTTCTTAATGTCACTGATATTGAAATCCAGATCTTTTCTTTTCAGCCTTCTCACTACTCTCTGTATATACTGCTGATTCCCAATCAGCCTATAGTCCACAGGAATCTCGAGTCCTTTTCCTTGGCCAACATTATATCTGTGTCCAATGCACTCAACCTCAACCTCTCCACAGTCACGAATAAACTTGTTCATAATCTTCGAAATCTCAATAGGTATATGACCCACAGTTTGACCAGATTCATTCTTCACTGCCACAGCATATTTGTCATGGGGATTGTCTTCTTCAATGTCACACATCATGAGATCCCCTACACGTACAGTCAAATATTTAAAGTATGCGTGATAACCTC